ACTGGAAGGTGACACGGGACTTCTCCAGTAGATCTACGTTCAACAAATCAAAGTCAGACAAAAAACATTGCATGTATATCATCACACAACAAATGGCTTCATATTGAATTGTAAATTGAAACTTAGATGACTGAACAAAATATAGATAATGACTTACATGTTTCAATATCTGCTGAGGCCAGCTTGCCCGATGTTCCGAAGTGGATTCGGATGAATTTGCCCTAAAGAAATTAGACTTAGGCTAGCATGATCCTTGGAATGCAGCTCAAAAAGCTCATATTTATTTAATTTATTTTTACTCACAAAACGAGAAGAGTTGTCATTCCTGATAGTCTTGGCATTACCGTAAGCCTCCAGCAGAGGGTTGGCTGCAATGATTTGATCTTCCAGCGAACCCTACACAAAGAGATAAAATTTATAGCATTTTGTTGTTAGTATTTAGAATAAAAATATATTCTGAACATTTTGAGGGAAAACAACCATTTTACCTGCATCTTGCCAGCTGCTGCCTCAGCCTTCTTACTTGAGGTCATTGCAATTATTGCAAAGTACTGGATGACACGCTTGGTGTTGACAGTCTTTCCAGCACCGGATTCTCCACTGAGGGACAAAGGAATATTTTGAGGGTTTTTTGTGTTTTATTTTTTAAAATTCTATATTTGTCAATTCCCTTTTTCAGGTATGTAAGTATTACTCACGTGATAAGGACAGACTGGTTCTCACGATCTGAAATGAACACATATGTAATATGTAATGTAATTCATTTAATCTTTATTGAGATCGAGATCTCTTTTCCAAAAGAGGCCTGAGAACAAGAAACATTCACAATCGCCAGCAAACAACGGCAGAGCTTTATAGATGAACAACATGAGATGACTATCTCTTATTGTTTGTAATGAAGTCCATCTAATAGATTGATACAGAGAAAATTGATGTGTGGAATTTGTCATTTGTGATGATGTGTAATGCTTTGGTATGGTTTCAGTTTCATTTTATATAATTTTTGCTTTGACTGAGTGGTATGTGTCAAATTGACTCACCTGTGAGCATGAACTGATAGGCATTGTCAGAGATGGAGAAGATGTGGGGCGGTGCCTCAATCCTCTTCTTGCCTCTGTATCCTTCCACAACTATAGTGTCGTACACAGGAAGCCACTTGTAGGGGTTCACGACGACACAGAACAGGCCTGAGTAGGTCTGAAATAGAGAGGAGTGCCCTTTTAAAGCCACAGTTTCTACATTTGATATCTACATCATTTCAGTTTGAACTTCATTTTGAGTTTTAGCTGTGGTAAAAACAAATAACCTCATCTGAATTTTTTTTGTTCTCTATATATTTACTTCAGTATAAGTGTTAGTTTGCAAACTCACGTAGATCATCCATGATGCATAACGCTCTTTGAGGTTATACAACACACAAGGCTCATTGAGGTGGGTCATCATGGCCATGTCCTCAATCTTGTCAAACTTTGGAGGATTCCTGAGATCGATTTCGGTCTCTTTCACAGTAACAGTCTGAATAGAAAATTGGAGTTCAGTTTCATCGGTCAGATGAAATCAATTGACATAAAATGAAATAGATGGACAAAACTAAATTTCTAAGATTATATTTTAGAATAGTATTTCAGTTTGATTCACCTACCTTTCCAGTATCTGTCTCAACTGTGGCTTTGCCCCCCTCTTTCTTCACAAGTTTACACTTGAGGTACATCTCATCAGCATCCACCACAAAGAAGGCTGTTTTGGCATCAAACGGAGTGTTCTGTGCCTCAATCCTCTCCCTCTCTGGCTTCCGGAGGTAGATAGCCGCCGGGCCATACTGCTGCATCTCTGCGTCTGTGCTCATGATGGCACTTCAGATGGGACTGAAAAGTAAGAGAATAGTGTTGAATGAAGTGTGTTGATATTATTTTTCATTATGGAGGTTATATTATTGCAAACACGTCTTACTTCAGTTTATCCCTCTTGAGTGTCTGTTGTTGTCCAGGGATGCCTTTGAAGAGAGATTGAGATGATAAAACATTTTTTTTCTGCCTTGTCACCATCATGTTTTTTCTAAATACAATTAAACTAACAATTAAAAAAGATTTATGAATTTCTGATGATTCTCTCCCCTGCGGTGGTCCTGTTGTGTGCACTCTTGTGGTAGCCATCTGGTGGTGTTTTTCGCTTTTCTCCACTGCTTGATGTCTATCAGTTGAATATGATTGAACTTGGTCGCTGCCTTTACTAGAAACACTGCTGTCTGCTCTCATTTGTCTGAGAAAGACCTTTCAGATAAAAATGTGCCTTGTTAAAATGACAGAATAAAACAGTGTGCAGAACTACTCTTTTGTAAATTCTGTACCCTGGCTTTTTGTCCTGCACCTGTATGCATGTGTGTAGGTATGCACACACTGAGTTCCTCTGACAATCATTGAAGACAACACAAAGTTAAAATATTGTACACTGCATGGTGCCCACAACAGGAAACAGCATTTACACTACTCACTAAAAAACTTCTCCAAATTAGCCATTAAAGTAGTTGCAAAGTGTATTAAACATATTTGTAAACAATATGTTTGAATCAGGGTATTACAAGTGTACTTACTACTACTAAAATATAAGTAACATTAATATAATATTAATGTCAGTAAAAGCAAATTATGTGATATAAAGACACAAAGCACTAACCTGTGTGGGATGCCTGTCAGTTATCAGAGGAGCCTGAGGCTACTGCTTTTATAGAGGCTGGGACTGCCTAGTCAGCAGCAGCCTGCCACTAGATTTGGTCAAGCATCCCTGACATCTTAAGACCCATCTTGCTTTTTCTGTGTCTTGAGATATAACATTGCACAAGTCTTAAAATAGCAATTGAACAAAAAAATTGAAAAATTTCTTCAGCGATCTCGGATCAAAATCTTTATTTTCAAATTGCATTACTGTATTGTAGGATAATAACTTGTCTAATCTAACAAATAAATATTTAAATTATTTGTTAAGGGAGTTGTGTGACTTTCTTTTTTGACCCATAAACTCTACTCTGAGATACTCTGAAATGTCATAAGTATTGAGTTTCACCTTGTCCACATTTCAGATATTTGAAATACAGTAAAACAATACTTTTTATGATTATCACCAATATCATTAAAATAACCTTTATTATTGTAGGTTAATATCCATCATGCACCACATATTCATTTTGAAGAGAATAGCATTTGATATTGGTAATAGCATGCAACATGTTTTATAGAGAAGCATTGGATTTAACTTTCTCTCTGCCCATAACCTATGGGTGATGGCAATGTTCAAAATAGATGCTGTGCAATACATACCCGTGTTTTTGAACCACTTATTTGCTCCAATAAATAATTTACTTTTATAAATTTAGATTCTGACTTACTTGAGAAAGAGATTTCATTAGTTTATAATGAGATCTTTCCATTTACCCCTGCAATTAAATATGTCCGTAGCAGGAATGGAACTTAATTTTGGAGAAGCCCCCAACTGCCACTGGTATACAGTTGCAGCACACTGGCACATCTTGTGTTCCTCTAATAAAACTGAATGTAAGGCCCTTTCCATAAAGTTCAAGTGGTATTACACCTTGCCTTAAAAGGTATAGAAATGTGTTTGCCAACCAGGCTGAGATAAGACCTATATTAAGTCCCACTCGGATGTCAAAGATCTTTATCCCCGGGCCATTAGATTCTGTTGTTGCTGTTATGGAAACCCAGTGTCCTTGAAAGACTATGCGACTCTCATTTTCAGACATTTCTGGCATTGGCCCCAAAATAAATCCACATACATAATCCTACACAAACAGCTGACAGCCTTCCAAGTGCCTTTCGAAGCATTAACATTAAATTAAACAATAATAGTTTTTGAATTATTTTTATCACTGTACCTTTTAAATGAAAAAAAAATACTCAGAACATTCAGAACTTATCCACAGTATTTATATTACATCTTTGTATCCCTAATTATCTGTGTCTAGAAGCCACAAGTGTAGTGAACCAACATGTCAAGTTGGTGGATGCTTATGATGTAGACAAACATTTAATCCTTGCAGATAAACATGAGGGTTTGGGGCATTGTGCTAGAGTTTTTTCATAACATATTGTGAGATACTTTATTTGAAGAAAAATGGCTCACCTCTATGAATTAATACATTATATGCTCTGTTTTATGTAAATGCAGACAACGTTTTCTTTTTTGGTTTTTTTATATTGTATTTTGTTGTCCTTACAGGTTTGCATAGCGTTGTCATGGCTCAAACACAGTGGCTGTCATTTGAGCCATGATTACTCAGCTTAGTTTCGCAATGTGCAACATTTCTCTTATGCTGTAAAAAAGCAGTCATCAGCAGAGCTTAGCACAAATTAGAGACAAATATGTTGCTTATTTCTGATTACTGTAAAAAAAATATCCTGAAAGAGTAGCCAGCCTTGACCTAGGGACAGCTAACAAGGACAAGCTGGCCGATCTTAGGTTGCAACTGGAATTGTAGGGAGTCAATAGCTGAGGAATGTAAGTAGGGGCCAGCCCTTGTTGAGCTTTGAAAGTTATTAAAAGAATCTTAAAATCAATCTTGAATTTAAAGGTTCAGTGTGTAAGATTTAGGTGCAAGGGATCTAATGACATAAATTGAATCCTAGAGATGTTTTCACTAGTGTGTTTCATCTAAATTGTACAAATTGTTGTTTTCTTTCTAAGTCAGGGAGAGATAGAATTGATTTAATTTTAGACATATTTTTTAGATGGAAGTTGCAGGATTCAATGAATCGAATGTGACAGCTAGATTTTTAGCTGTTGTTTTAATATTGGTTGCCAGGGGACCGAGACCTGATAAGAGCTAAAATGACTCAACATGATTTAAACGACAGACTTTTTAAATGTCAGATGAAGCACAAGTGACTCAGTAGTGTACAGTTTCAGGGCATGGCCTACATACAAAGGATATTTTCCGGACTACAAATATCCAGAGTTTTGTAGTTTTTTCCCCCCAACGCCATGGCGCACTCTGTGACGTACCGGAAGTAACCCTCAGGACTACACGCTTTGAAAGGTCCGCTAACTAGCTTCAGCTAAAGTTAGCTTTTTTTATCGTCTGGGGCGGCTCTTGTTCCGTTCTTTTCACTCTAAACGAAGACATGCCGTCGTTAAACGGAAAACCCGATGTTATGTTTGTGAGTTACCCCATTCAGTTATATGTAGCTATTAACGTTTGGTGAGAACGGGTGTAGCTAGCTAACCTTTCCTAGCTGTTTAACTGTTGAAGTTGTTGTGGTCCGTAGGCTGGGAATCAGAGATGTGTGTACACGCTTGTCTTCTAAATCTTTATGAAACGCATGTGAAATGTGTACCTACAGTGTTTAACGTTAAGTTGCTCCTGGTTCAGGTAAACGTTGTTGTAACGTTACGATGTCGCGCTAATGTTAGCTTTAGCACACGCTACGTTGACTCCTTTTTAAAATGGTGTTTTGTGTTGTGATTTCTCAATGTTAGGAGGACGATGATCTGCCCTATGAAGAGGAGATTATCCGGAACCCGTACTCGGTCAAGTGCTGGATGCGTTACATCGAATTCAAACAGAACGCATCCAAATCCACCCTGAACATGATCTATGAGCGGGCTCTGAAGGAGCTGCCTGGCAGGTAGCTAACACACAGGCTGCTTAATCATCACAACCGTACACCCAAACCAGGTTGCTAGTGAAACCTGCAAGTCCTCAGGTTATTGCTTTCACAGCAGTATATTGGATGTCAAGCATTTCCGCAGATCAAAACATGATAGGCATTGTTAAAGAAAGTTAATATGTTTGACTTAATAATTTTTTTGATTGTCTAAAGGTACTTTTTATTGTTATCGAAGTGTTCTTAATAACCATTGCCGGCTTATTTACAGTTATAAGCTGTGGTACAGTTACCTGAGAGAGAGACGGAAACAAGTCAAAGGGAAATGCATCACGGAACCAGCTTATGAAGAGATCAATAATTGCCATGAAAGGGCTCTGGTGTTCATGCATAAGGTAATACTTCCTGTCAAACTCCATCCAGAAAGTCCTGACAGTAAAAACAAATTGTGATACAGTGGTCTGTGATGTGCTTGAAACTAACATGAGTCCTTCCTTAAACTAGATGCCCAGAATATGGCTCGATTACTGCCAGTTCCTTGTGTCTCAGAGCAAGATCACGAGAAGTCGGCGAACATTTGACCGTGCACTCAGAGCTCTTCCTGTTACTCAGCACCCACGCATCTGGCCTCTGTATCTCCGCTTCGTCCGTACCCTGTCCCTGCCTGAGACTGCTATCCGGGTGTATCGTAGGTATCTTAAGGTGAGAGCATGGTGCACAATCCCATTTCCATACAGCAGTTGATATTCAGGATATCATGACTTCTGATAAGATTCTGTAATTGTATTTACACTGACATCGTATGGTAATGACTGGGCTGTGATATGATATCTCTGAATGTATGTCTCTGTAAATATCTAAAGATTCTCAGCTGAGAGAATAGCTACTGGATTTGCTGTTTTAGTCTTACGGATTTTGTTTACAAAAATGAATTATCCGAAAGGCCGTAACATCATAATATATCGAGCTATTGTAAGAGTAAGACATTTCCTATAAATATTAGATTCAAACTTTTTAAGATTACTGTTCATGGGGATAATGGCAATGTACTGTCATCTTTTTGTTCCATGTAGCTTTCTCCACAAAATGCAGAGGAATACATAGACTATTTACGGTCTGTTGGCCGCTTGGATGAAGCAGCTGTGCGTCTGGCAGCAGTTGTGAATGACGAAAGCTTTGTGTCCAAAGAGGGAAAATCTAACTATCAAGTAAGATTTTGTTCTCATCACCTCCCAATGTGACAAGTTTGTTATACTTTTAAAGCTGGAAAGGAAACAATATTTCTGTTTTCTACATTTTTCTTGAACAGCTGTGGCATGAGCTGTGCGACCTAATCTCCCAGAACCCTGATAAGGTGACTTCCCTGAATGTAGGAGCCATCATCCGAGGAGGCCTCACCCGCTTCACTGACCAACTTGGAAAACTTTGGTGCTCTTTAGCTGACTATTACATCAGGAGTGGCCACTTTGAGAAAGTATGTTTCATCTTACTCTTTTATTCATATCTTAAAGCACTTAACATATGTAGCTCAGTTGCATTAATAGTAGTTCACAGTGTGCCGGTTTGAATCACTGATTGTGAATTATCTATGTCAGGCCCGCGATGTATATGAGGAGGCCATCCTTACAGTGGTGACAGTGAGGGATTTCACGCAAGTGTTTGATAGCTATGCCCAGTTCGAGGAGAGCATGATTGCTGCCAAGATGGAGACCACTGCTGAGATTGGGAAGGATGAAGAAGGTGTGTGTGGATTCATTAATGTTAATATCCACAATATATGTACACGCCTTTATTTCACGTCTCATCTCATGCATGCTGTACTCTTTGTGCCTCTCCTCCTAGATGACATAGACCTGGAGCTTCGACTTGCCCGCTTTGAGCAGCTTATAGCCCGACGGCCCCTCCTTTTGAACAGTGTTCTGCTGAGGCAAAACCCCCATAATGTGCACGAGTGGCACAAGCGGGTAAAATTGTACGATGGCAATCCACGACAGGTGAGTGTTGGGTTGTTAACATTTTATAAATATTCTTTGGACCCGGTCAGTGCACACGCAATTGATATTGCTAACAAACATCACTTGGGTAACACTGCACAATGGTTTGCAGATTATCAACACATACACTGAGGCAGTACAGACAGTGGATCCAATGAAGGCCACAGGGAAGCCTCATTCCCTCTGGGTCTCCTTCGCTAAATTCTATGAGGAAAATGAGCAGCTGGATGATGTAAGTCATGGAAGTCTTTCCACTCTGGTATTTCAAACTATCTGCTCTTAAAAATCAAATGAGACTCTGTATTTTTAATAAATCTCGCTTTTAACTGACTGTCACTCAGGCCAGGACAATCTTTGAGAAGGCTACCAAGGTGAACTACAAGCAGGTGGATGATCTTGCTGCAGTGTGGTGTGAATATGGGGAGATGGAGCTTCGCCATGAGAACTATGAACAGGCACTGCGCATACTGAGGGTGAGACACTTCTGTAGGGATTATTATTGGTGCAGTCTGTACAATGGATATTATGCTAGATGTTTAGTAGCATCTAGTGGCAAGACGGAGAAACTACAGCGTCGTTCTTCATCTTCAAATGTTTTTTAAGGGCATATTTTCAAACTTGAAAGACCTGGTAAATGTAGAGTGGATCACAGATAATATCTGATTGTAATTTAGAGCCTGATAAAATAGAATTGTGGATGCTCTGCTTGTTAAGAGATCATGTAATAGTAAAATAAGGTCTATTGATTAGCAATACTTGCATGTCCCTGTGCATGAATTGAAATGCTCTTGAGCACTGAGTGAAATGTATTTCTTAAATTAATAAATCCACTCATGAATGTGTGTTTAAATGCTTTGTGGGTAGAATTTCAACACATTGGTTTCTTCCATGTTTTGCATATAGAAAGCTACAGCCATCCCATCTAAGAAAGCAGAGTACTTTGATGCATCTGAGCCAGTCCAAAACAGGGTGTACAAGTCCTTGAAGGTCTGGTCTATGCTGGCAGACTTGGAGGAGAGTCTTGGCTCTTTCCAGGTATGTTCACTACATGTCCCTAAGTTTCCATTATGTTATACAAGCTAACCAAATACAGTTGGTTTGATTTAAATTACAGTTAAACTCTGAGCTATTTACTACTTAGAATCGTCATATCCTTTAACTGTGGATGCTACTTTTCTCTCAATTTTATTGTTTTGTCTTTTCAGTCTACGAAGGCAGTGTATGACCGTATTATTGACCTCCGCATCGCGACGCCACAGATCATCATCAACTATGCCATGTTTCTTGAAGAGCACAACTACTTTGAGGAAAGCTTCAAAGTAATAACACAATACTAATTCACTAAACCCACATTTATTTCAGTGTTCTTGCCTAGCGCCAATTTGAAGAATTATTAACGTCTTTGTTAACACCTACTGTATTTCAGGCATATGAGCGTGGTATCGCTCTCTTCAGGTGGCCAAACGTTTATGACATCTGGAACACTTACCTCACCAAGTTCATTGATCGATACGGGGGCAAGAAGCTGGAGAGGGCAAGAGATTTATTTGAACAAGCCCTTGATGGCTGCCCCGCCAAGTTTGCCAAGAGTAAGTAGCTTTTTAAAGTGACAGACAGCTTTTGTATTTATTTATTTTTTAATGAAATTAATACACTGCTCCGCTGTGCCTTGCCTTTCAGCCATTTACCTGTTGTACGCCAAATTGGAGGAAGAGTATGGATTGGCACGGCATGCAATGGCTGTATATGAAAGAGCGACACAGGCAGTCGAAACTGGGGAGAGACATCACATGTTCAATATCTACATCAAGAGAGCCGCTGAAATTTATGGTGTTACTTATACCAGAGCAATTTACCAGAAAGCCATTGAGGTATGGAAACATTTTTCTGATCCTGATAATCAAATTTAAATGTTGTATTTTATTGGGAAAGTTGAAATGCTTATGCTATTCAGCACTATAACAATTTTAATTCTGAATTGTAACTTTATATGTTAACCAGGTCCTTCCTGATGAGCATGCGAGGGACATGTGTCTGCGATTTTCTGACATGGAGAGTAAACTGGGTGAGATTGATCGGGCCAGAGCAATCTACTCCTACTGCTCCCAGATCTGTGACCCAAGGGTGAGTGAAACCACTTCCAGGCATTATAAATAAAATGTCCCGCTTTGATCAATGGTCTATACATAGTACATTTATCCTGACTTACCTGTGAACTTGGTCTTTCAGGTTACAGCTACTTTCTGGCAGGCCTGGAAAGAATTTGAGATCCGCCATGGAAATGAGGACACCATTAGAGAAATGCTGAGGATAAAACGCAGTGTCCAGGCCACATACAACACCCAGGTCAACTTCATGTCCTCTCAGATGATGAAGGCTATAACAACCACCACAGGCACTGGTGAGTGACCTTACTCTGTTCTGTGACAAGTATTTTCTCTACTTGCAATGAATGCACTGGATGGATTCATTTATTTGTGTCCTTGTATATTTTTTCACTCGTTCCCAGTTTCAGATCTTGCTCCAGGCCAGATGGGAATTGATGACATGAAGATGTTAGAGCAGAAAGCACAACAGCTTGCTGCAGAAGCCGAGCAGGACAAACCTAAGCCCAAAGAGAAGATTCTCTTCGTCAGGTTGGTTGTTCATCTTGTTTTTACTTAATTGGAAATTATAATTTTTTTTTAGTTTTTTACGAAGCAGGAAGACATCCTTCAGAGGAAGATTAGACTCTTAGGTCATATTCTCCTCATGTGTTTATACAGGAGTGACACTTCTCGCAGTGAGTTGGCTCAGCTTTCTAAACAGGCTAATCCTGATGAGATCGACATTGATGATGATGACGAGGATGACGATGAAGACCAAGGACCAGAAGGTGAGTGACGCACACATCAGCCCTTGCCTCAGCTGCAAAACAGAAATACGTGATGCTTTTTTGAGTACTGACATGTTTTATCGATGAAAATGCATGAACTTATTGTCTTCTCCTCCGGGCCTTTTACAGAGGTGCGGCTTGAACAGAAGAGCGTCCCCACAGCTGTCTTTGGAGGACTCAAAGACGACTGAAAGATGCTTTTTCTCACTGAACTTTGCAAAGATGCATTCTTCTGATATCTCTTGTAATGATTGAATAGGCTCTATTTTTAAATTTAGTATTAATATTCAGTTGTATCCACTTTATTTTAATACAATGTGATGAAAAAAAAAAATGTGGCAGAAGTTCAGTATAGTAAAAAAAAAACTCTTAGTTTTGGCCACAAGGTGTCAGTCCTTGGTATGTGGCTCAAGATAATTGATCCTTTTTTTTCTATTATAAAATACTGTTGTGGTTACATGTTAACTCTAATTGAAATCTGAGGTTTTTATACTTTGTTATGGAACAACATTTGTAAAAGAATTTACAGTGAAAACATTTGTGTACACTTAATAAATTCAGATATCTTCCTCTGACAGGAAGCTCTGCCCTAGAAAACAGGGGAGGAGCGTAGTTTCTTCTTGGAGCATTCACTTGAAAGTGGAGCTTCACATTGTTGACTTGAGGATCACTAGTAGGTGTGTCTTGTGTTCTGAAAAGATTAGTTTGTGCAATGGTTTGAAAAATAGAACATAAAATTCAAAGTTAACTAAACTGCAGTTATTAAAGTTGTAGGTTTTGAGGATATAAGTAATGCTATAGAAATGCTACTTGTGACCTAATACAATTTTACAGCTCTTCATGTACAACAAGATTTTCTATGTTTTCTTATTGCCATGCTGTATAACTTTGATGTTTGTCAATTACGCTCTAACCCTGGCTGTGTCAAGCTGGTCTCTTTGAGTCTCTGAAACTTTATTTACATTGTCTTGCAGCTGTAATAAAAATTGATTTATATTTGATAAATACAGTAACTTGTAGGTGAAAGTTTGCTGTTGGGAACACTTGGCAGAAGTCTGAAGCATCCAAGTCACACAGATTTTTGCTGATGTACAGTTTGGCAAATGTCCTTTATACACACACAACTAAAATGCAGATCCTATAATACAGGTTCAACACGTGTATGCTGGAAGATGGCCTCATGCTTTTAATTGTTGCCACACCATCACAAAGAGTTAAACTGGCAGAACTGGAAAATGTACTGACTAGGGCGAAATTGTTTCTGTCATAATTAGATTAAAATAGCTGAGAGGTAATCCTCCTAAGAAGTTACTGCAGTGGGGCGCCCAGGGAGCTCTTGGAACTTTGAGCAACATCATGTGATGAGTCACTCCCGAGATTGAATTTGTCTAATGTGGACAGTGCACTACAAGAAACAAAGGTTCAAACACAAATAAAGGTATTAGGTTATTGCTGATCTATAATACTCAGTGAATTGTTAATCAGAAGTTGATATTAATAGTTCTGATCTAATTAAGTCTTTGCTTGATAACGTGATATATATATATATTTTTGCATGTTGAAGGGCAACAAATAATAAACATGATGAATATATAATGGTTTAAAATATTGTCTAGTATTAAAGCAAAAAAGCATGATTGACAGAATATAAAAAAGTGACCAAAATCTATAAACTACTGAATATGATAATAGTCACTCAATCAAAGTCTGTCCATGCACATCTACACACAGTCAACCCTGAGGACTGTGCAGGGTCATTGAAATACTCAACAATTGATAAAATAGCTTTAACTATCTGAACACTCTGCTGTATATTCACACACTGTTTGGATTCTTACAACATCAGTACTAGAAATCCAGAAGTGAAGAGAAATACTTTGCATATTATTTTTGCAAGGCAGTTTTATTTCTAAAGCACATTTCATACAGGTGCTGTACGGGGACATTAAGGGAGGGTAAAATAAAAGGCGTAAAGACCTTTTGAAAGAAGTTGAGGGAGGAAAATAATACAAATAAAGTAGATAGAAATGTGTAAATTAATAAAAAATAAAAATACAATGATGACATGGGTGAGTAAAATAGTTTAAGACAGTTATAAATTGCACTATGTGACTTTTGTGAAAGTACCTGTGATCCTGTACATTTTGTATCCAAACTATATTGAGGTGTTTCTATATTGTGGTTTTGCAGCGAAGGTGAAGGATCTGTATATTCATATGTCATTTTTGCTCATTGTTTACATATACAGAAACCCATCAATAGCATTTGCGTTGCGGTAACATTTCTATTATTCGGTCACTTTATGTTATTTGACCTTCCCGGTGGGAAAAGGGCCCTGCTGGCGTTCACCTGTGCGCCAGGAAGTGCACCTGTAGCAGGAATCAAACCTTTACTCCTGTCTGCATGTCTGCTCCCGCCCCCATCAACCGGAGCCCCTCTGCCATTGGCCGACGGGTCGATCGAGCGCCGCCTGTGTGGAGCACCTGGCCGTCAGTCATCGGCGCGGCACTCAGTGGAGCTCCGCGCAGCGAGCAGGACGCACGGCGATGCGGACGAAGAAGAGCAGGAATAAGGGGAAGAGTCCGGTTTTCTCCAACACCCCGGCGGCTCGGAGCTTCACCTGGTCGTGAGGCTTCCATTCAACCGGGATTCGATCTCCTACAGCCGCACAGAGAAGGACTTTAACCGCATCTGGTCGCAGCTCCGGGCCGGATATTTCTCCCTTCGACAATCCGTAATCCAAGCCCCGGCCGTGTGGAGCAGTCAGAGAGGATGATAGCGTGAATATTTTCTTTTGCTGTCTAGTTTATTTTTGAACCATTTCCCATTCCCTCGCACCCTCGCTATGGTGGACTCCCCCACCATGAGGAAGACTTTTGTGGTCCCGGAGATAAAACCATCCGACTTGTACGACTGTGCCAAGGCGAAAATTTGCGCAAGTGTCGGGTGGCTGTTGGCAAAGTCCTACGGCAGCGCAGGTAGGTTAGCGTGGAGGCTGCAGGCCTGCCCAGCTGTAGTCGTATTCACAGAGGTCTCATGCGTCCTTTTGTGGCGCTCATCGTGTGTGTGTGTTTATATTCTGTTCGGCAGCAGAGGAGAGCACATGCATGTAGGGTGTGTGTGTGTATGTGTGCGTGCGTGCGTGCGTGTGTGTGTGGCTCAGCAGTTTCCAGCACAAAGAGCAGCAAATGAAAGGGACCATGCGCCCTACGCATTTTTTTTTTACACTGACACATGTCATTTGTCCTCAGTCAATGGGTGGTCACATTTTAAAGGTATGTGTGTGTGTGTGTGTGTGTGTGTGTGTGTTTCAGAGGAGCAGGCCTCCTCCCTACAGGCCTTATCACTCTCACCCATTATGTCTGTATTTCTGTCCGCCGGGCTTCAGTCACAAACTGCAGGCTGCTGGGGATGTTTCTAATCTTGTTGTTTTTCTGGGGCGTGGGTGATTTTCACTACTAAAAAATGACAGCACCAGTTGTATTCAGTTCAGAATTAGGATCGAACTGCTGCATCCATGCACAGAGGGAATTCAATGCCTAGCACAATTTTCTTTATCTTCCAATATCCTGTGTCCAGATGCTCCCGCATGTGTGTAACCATCCAGCCTCTTTGATGCAAAACACACCCACCTCAGAAAATAACTTGAATGAGCAGAGGTATCATAAGACAGAGCATGTTGGTGTGTTGAGACTTTTACAGAGCGTCAGTCCTGACCCTGAGGTGATAACAAGTCTCTCTGTTCTCCAGGCCTATCTCTAAAGATTAAATCTCTCACAGAGGACACCAAAAACAGTCCTGTTTGAAATAGGCTTAAGGACACACTGTTTTTATTTCACTCTAACTCTATTCTACCAGAAGAGTACACACGTCAGTACTGTGATAGGGCACTGTTTTCAAGTAATATAATGTGGATCCGTTTACTAAAGCGGCACACAACAAGAATCAACAAAGCACATCACTCAGCTGTGCATGTAAATAACACTAAGCTGGAGGTTTATTGTCAATATTTCAGACAGCTTTAACTCAGTTTTGGATCGAAATGGTGGGAAGTGATCTCTGTTTTTACTCTAACAACATGACTTGCATGTTACACAACCCCAGGCAAGTCCCCACGGTGCTGCGTGTGCTCTGTTAAGCACCTCAACCACACCCTCTGGTCAAAGTCGTCCTCCATCCCAAGTTATAGGAATATGAAGACCAAGGCTGCGTGCTGTGTGTTGTTGATGTGCAGTTTTTAATCTTAATCAACTCGATGGCCTTACTGTTTCCTGCAAAGTCAGGTTGACATCATCATGTCCCTTCCCAGAAAGGGAAAGGTTCAGTCTGGAGAACAGCAGATACACAGCAGGAGCCAGAGCAGGTCGCCTGGCCTAATGATTACAATAGACACCATTTTTAATCTCCGTCTTTGTGATACAAAATGGAGTTAACACATGATCACATCCTATATACATCTCAGGTCTTTATTTAGGCTGAGAACGAGAGCTGGCAAGGGCCTAGTGACAGAAATAATAAAATATCTCTAGGCTACCCTAAAACGAAACCATGTGAAATCATCAAAAATACTTTTAGGCTTAGCCTGAAATGCCATTGTTGATGTAAAATATTTCAAGGCTAGGAGGACAAGTGAACAGAAAACACAAAGTCATCTTCAACACAACCAAACTCTTAATGTTAAATTAAACAATTCGAATTGATACACAAGTATAAAGGTTGTAAATATAATGCTTAAACCTCATCAGATTCTCTAAATGCTTAAGTAGGAAACCTGGAGTAGTTTTTCTCCACCTTGCTAAGCAAAGGAGACACTGAACCATCCTGAGCTGGGAGAAAAAACAATATCAATATTCATAAATACATATCATGCCATCCCTACAACTCCAACATTAAACTGCTCACAAAAGATGTGTCACCATTGACTTTGTTGTGACGCCATGTTTGGAGCATCATAATAATGTTGTCATTGTTAAGAAGCAGCATAAAATGTCCGAATTACATGCTTTCATTCACTGGAATCCGCTGGTACCAGCTTGTTTATATGCAAATATAAATGATGCACCATATATAGGCCTATTCATATTTTCTATCTTCAGATACATCAGACCATACATGCTTTAAGACCTTTATGTTAGATACGTGGCTTCGCAGTAATGAAATGCCATCTAATCATGTTTTGTAATGCCCTGACAGGAAAATTATCCATAATCACAATGTGAATGAAAAGTTGTTAGGCAAGGATGTAATTCAGGTTCTGCCCTTGAAGTTGCTGTGACAGGTGACCTGACAGATCATTTGAGGGTGAGTCCAACTAGTTTGTGCTTTTACACTGGAATGAGACCAGAAACTCTAGATCTACCTGTTTGAAGGGTTGGAACAAACTTACTCATAAAATGTTCATAAAGTAAATACAAGCAGCTTTTGTCTGTCAGTTTTCCTTCTGAGTATGTAATTACATTTGTGCGTCTTCCAGTTTATGCCTCAGCTTAAACATCTGTTTTGGTCATAGGTTTCTCCTCTTCTGACTTTTTTTCAAGGGATGAGGCCAAACCACCTTGAACCTGCACATGTCAAACCTTGTGTTTATTTAGCATGATGGGCTTATCTAGCTAGAAGCTGCTCCTGAAATTCTGTTGGAGTGATTACTCATCCTCTCCCCTTCATTGTAGCTATGGTGAGTCAACAAGGGAGAAGGACCTGAGGAGGATGTTTTTTTTTTGCTTTTAGTGTTTACTCAAGAGGTAGGAAGGCCTGATTGGTGTACTGTATGAAACTCTTAGGTTCAACCCTGTTTACAGTTACTGACTTGTGAAGTGTGTTTTAAGATAATGTGTATGTAAGGTCACATGCCACCCCACACATGGAGGACAAAGATCAGAGTAAAGCAGATCTGGTTGGAAGTCAGTGTCTAAACCTTGGACTGTTCTGCTACAGGCTAATGCACACTGTCACTTGGTTATTCAGTGTTGTCCTGTTAGCACATATGATCTAGTGGTGTTGTCCGAAGGA